GGCATAGCTAAGGTGACCATGTATCCCGAAGGGAAAATCGGACACCACATAAGGTTGGCTTGAGTCATTCGCCCGAGCCCCTCACCTCCCCTCTGCAGGGCTGGCATCGCTGCTCGCCCGAGCCCTGCCTGTCCCCTGCCCAAGCAGGGCTGGCATCGCTGCTCTCCCCTCTCCCCGCATGTACCTCCGCACCCCATTATTTAGACAAAAGTGGGTATATGTCCCATTTGCTCTTGCCAATTGATCAAGCCTGAATTATACATTACACAGCAATGAGATAATGGGACATTTTAACTATCCAAAAGAGACCCCTGAAGGCAGACTGTTAGGATATAGATATTCAGGCCTGCCTGTAAAGGCCTATACTTTAAGAATGTAGGTATATGTTTATCATTTAGCTAGTAATAGAGGTATACAAGAAAGAATCTGTGTAAGGGCCTTCTCTCACTGTGACAGTCTGAGGCCCTGTTCTTAGGCTAAGGCCTTTGGCTAAGCAGCAGAGGCAGCCATAAGCTGGGAAGCGACCGGTCACCTCCTCACATTCCAAACTAGTCAATACGGGGCTGTTAGCAAGGTGATCCGATCTATCACCTCCAGAGAAAGGGAAGAGCCTAGAAGATGTAAAAGGAAATATAGGTTGATAGTTTTCTGTCTGGTAAGAACTCACTTATCAACAGACACAGCTGGGAAACCCTTATGTCTTTATAGATGTAGTTGTGAAATCCTCACTTCTGTATTGTTTTGCCCACTTTGCTATTGTTTATTTGCATGGTCTCTGTCTGGTTCCTGTCTGCTGTATAATTAATTTTGCTGGGTGTAAACTAATTAAGGTGGTGGGATATAACTGGTTAGCTAATCATGTTACAAAATGTTAGGATTGGTTAGGTAAATTTCAGTAGAATGATTGGTTAAGGTATAGCTAAGAATATTACTATATAAATTAGGGGCAAACAGGAAGTAAGTTGGGATTTGAAAATAAGGAAAAAGGAACTTGGATTTAAGCTTACTGGAAGTTCACCCCAATAAACATCAAATGGTTTGCACCTTCGGACTTCGGGTATTGTTGCTCTGTTCATGCAAGAAGAACCAGGGAAGTGGAAGAGTGAAGGAATAAGCTCTCTAACACAGACGTGCACTTTCTGAACACTACCCTCTGGGTCTTTAGACATACACAGATGTGTTGTTGGAATAAGTGATCAGCCAAACCACAGCCAGTGCCAATTCGCAGTTATATATTTTATATGTCCCTTCTTGTGGAAAACACTGTTGAGGTGTTAGTGGGGAAAAAAAGGAAGACAAATGTGTACACCCATGCCCAGCGAATTCCTAGTAGAAGTTTGATGCACCCAGCCTTAAGCTTATTAGATCTACCCTCTTACCAAGACTATTCACAATTCTAACACATTTCCTTTATGACCCACTGCTCGGCTTCTGAGACATCCTGTCATTTTAGAGTCCTCCTTAATGCACCTGAAATAAACAAGATAGTAATTTCTTTCGATGTCATTGTATTGCTCAATAAAATGTCAAAATAAAGAGCAAGTGCTGGCATTTCAATAGAAAGAGGAACAAGTAATCCTTTTTGTGATTATTTTACGGAGCTGTGGGATGGGGGACATCAGACAATGTTGGAAGGAGGAGCATTCTAAAATTTGAGAAGTTGAAGGGGGTATAACAAGACTGAGGGGAAGCCGTTGGCCTTCCTGAGATTTATTTATTTATTATTGTGATGGTTCTAAGCTAAGCTACTTACTGAACTTTGGAAGGCATAGCATATTACCGGCTAAAACTGCACACAACATTCTCCATCTGTCTTCACGTCACACCATGCCAAAAGGGCTTTAAAGCATGGCTTCATGTTTGGCTATGTTAGGAGATGATGCGTTTTCATACTAAACTGTGTTAAAATGCTCAGATACAACATCAGCAGTTTTTCAAACTAATATATCAAGTGCCTGAAATGTAAAATAACTGAGGGCAAACCACCCTTTTCTCTCAACATAGCCAATTCCAGTCTCCCATTCTAGGCTGTGGAACTTGAATCTGGTTGCAGTGATCTTCTGAATCATAATCAGCGGCTGTGGCTTTTACTGTCACTTTAGTTTTTTTTAATGTCACTCTATAGTCTCAAGGTACAAGTTTACTACTATACAGATTACTTTCATATAGTTAATTATGTCCCTAGTTGAGCTTTTTAAACTTGGGAGTTGTCCAGTTTATTAATTCTTATGTAAAGTGGTAGGGGAAATAGCTTTAAAATTATTTGCTTTATTTTAGTGTTTTAATTTAGTTAGTATATGCCAATGCTGCCAGCCATTACTTCCTATTTCTCTGACACACACCTCTGCGCTTTCTCCCATGCCACCTCCTTATGTGAGGCCCAGCCTCCCGTATAAAGCCACGCCCTTATCTTCCGTCAGATGCCTCCTTTAGACTCATGTCTGCTTTGATGTCTATAGAAGAGTCAGCTGATAATTAGCTACACTTTCATTTCCATCTGAAGCCAGGATATACTGAGGCATGCAAAAAGGAAATCAATTTAAAATAAGTTCATTTCTGACCTCTTTGAACTTCAAAAAAATCGGTTTTGGTCAGTTCTTATTTTATCCAAATTGGTTCTCCCATCCCTACTCACCTTATCTTCAATTTCAGCAGTTTCTACTGGCTGTTGGAAAAGCTTTCTCTCCCTCCTCTCCAGTCAGCCTTATCTGCAGAATTATTACTCTTTTTGTCACTCTTATTTTATATTTGCTCTTTAATGGATGTTTTGAGATGTGCACTGAGGAACTAACCTAAGGGGAAACTGTAGTAAGGGTTCTCATGAACCCTTACGGGATTTAATCACAAGAGTTCAAGAAACTATGGCTCACAGTGTCATGACGCACTATGCTCAGGAACATTGCCTACGTCTTCTGCAAACTCAAGGACCATATATTTAAGCCTAGATTCATCCTGTTATGTATGTGTCAATTGGGTGAGTATGGTAGGTGCACCATAATTTAGGAGAAAGTTAAACAGTGCTTCCACAGCCCAGACCTAAGACTTATTACATTAACTCCCGTATCTAGCTTAATGAGAATTAGATTTTATGCACTAGCTACTTTTTGGGGTAAGAAATATGAAGGACAACAAAAGCATCAGTTACAGTCATAATATTGCTATTTATAGTGCAACAAAATTTTCTTTAAAATGTAACTCTTTCTATGTAAGAGGCTGCAAATTTTCTTAAATATTGGTACATTTTAGCATTACAAAGTCACTCACTTCAGGTGTGTTTCTATTGGGGTCCTGCAGAGAACAGTTCTTGGCCCTACCCTATTTGCCATTTTTATCAATGACCTGGAAGAAAACAAAATCATCACCAATAAATTTTGCAGACAGCACAAAAATTAGGGGAGAGTGGCAATTAATGAGAGCTGGTCACTGATACAGAGTGATCTGGATCACTTGGTAAACTGGACGTAAGCAAACAATGTTTTAATATGGCTAAAGTAAATGTATACATGTAGGAACAAGGAATGTATCCCTACTTACAGGATGGAAGACTCTATCCTGTGAAGCAGTGACTGAAAGATTTGGAAATCATGGTTGATAAACAACTGAACATGAGCTCCCAATGCAACATTGTGGTGAAAAGAGCTAATGTGATCTTTGGATGCGTGAACAGGGAAATCTCGAGTAGGAGTAGAGAAGTTATTTTTTCTGTATTTGGCACTAGTGTGACCACTACTGGAATACTAAAAGAAAAGGAGGACTTGTGGCACCTTAGAGACTAACCAATTTATTTGAGCATAAGCTTTTGTGAGCTACAGCTCACTTCATCGGATGCAAGTGCAAGCTGTAGCTCATGAAAGCTTATGCTCAAATAAATTGGTTAGTCTCTAAGGTGCTACAAGTTCTCTTTTTCTTTTTGCGAATACAGACTAACACGGCTGCTACTCTGAATACTGGAATACTGTGTCTGGTTCTGGTGTCCACAATTCAAGAAGGATGTTGATAGATTGGAGAGGGTTCAAAAAAGAGCCACAAGGACGATTAAAGGGGGGAGGGATAGCTCAGTGGTTTGAGCATTGGCCTGTTAAACCCAGGGTTGTGAGCTCAATCCTTGAGGGGGCCATTTAGGGATCAGGGGCAAAAATTGGGGATTGGTCCTGCTTTGAGTAAGGGGTTGGACCCCTTCCAGCCCTGATATTCTATGATTCATTATAGTGATAAATTCAAGGTGCTCAATCTATTTAGTTTAAGAAAAGAAAAGATTAAGATCACAATCTAAGTACCTACATGGGGAACAGAAAATTGATAATGGACTCTTCAGTGTAGCAGACAAATGTATAACATTTCAGGAAGGTTGTGGACAAACTGGAAAAAGTCCAGAGTAGAGCGACAAAAATGATTAAAGGTCTAACAAACATGACCTATGAGGGAAGATTGAAAAAATTGGGTTTGTTTAGTTGATTCTCCAACAGGCAATTTTTTAAATCAAGATTAGATGTTTTGCTAAAAGATAGCAGTTCAAAAGGAATTATTTTGGGGGAAATACTCTGGCCTGTGTTATATTTAGGTCAGATTAGAGATGATCAAAATGGTCCCTTCTAGCCTTGGATTCTATGAAGCCCTGCCAGTGGTGGACTCTCAGACTCCATCCTCTCTGATTGTCTTCTATAGCAATCAACAATAATGGAATGGCTTCAAAGAGCAGGATCCTCCCTGGCTGACTGAAGGAGAGTGGCCCACTGGATTAAACATCTCATTATCTCCAAACTGAGATTGGGGGTGAGATTTCAGAGGACCTCACCTCAACAATTCTTGGTGATAATAGACACCCCCATGATGGCCCGGGGCATCATGGAGTCCATAAAAGATTTGTTTATACTGTATATGGAGGCACCACAACTGGCTGGACCAAATTGTTGGACCTCACAGACTATCCAGTATAACATCTCTCATTCCATTACAAGAGCATGTCATGGGGTTCATATTTCTCATCTGTTTTCTGACAGATATTTCTCAAGAATAACAAGATTACTGAAAATTAAGATGTATTTGCCCTTCCTTTGGAATTGCCTTCACTCAGTAGGTGGAGACTCAGGTAAACTAAAGGGGATACCTGGCTATTGTCTGGATCTTTATATTCTTCTAGCATAGTATTTTCTTCATGAGAAATCTTCTAGCCCTGACCCTTGCTTGTCACTCTCAAAACTTTGTCCCATACCGCACTTAAATCTATGAGAACCACAACTGGTTAGTCTCTAAGGTGCCACAAGTACTCCTTTTCTTTTTGAGAATACAGACTAACATGGCTGCTACTCTGAAACAAAAGGTGATGTGATTATAGTCTTATAGTTCTCCTGCTGTGCTCAAGCTGTGGAGATCATCCTTCCTCTTCTCTTGAATCATAGTCCTCTTCGTACATCCCCTGTGGGATCTTTGAGAAGCTCTCTGAATCACCATTCTGGATCCCAACCTTTCATTGGATGTCAAAACGAAATGGTGCCAGCAATTAATGGCTCACTGCATCTGACTTGACTATAGTGAGAACTTATATTAGTGAACTGTTGTCAGTGGTTACTTCAAATCCTACACCATATAAGATAGATAAGACATGAAATTTCTCTCCCCATTTCTGTGCAAGAAATTGAACTTTTGGACAATACAATTTCTCACTTCAGATCAGTCCGTGGCTTACATTTACAAACTTACTTTTTTGGATCTGACAGAAATGCTGCTTCCAATCTTGGGAAACTTGCCTCAGTATGCAGTATAAGGCAACTTCCAAATGCCTGTGCTAGTATAGAGATTAACTTAGTTTACCAGGTATTTACTGAAAGCCTGCTAGCATTCCACTGTCCAGAAACCTATGATATCTTTCTTGATGTGCTTCCTCAGGCCTTTTTCTTTTGTTTTACAGCTTAGTCCCTCCAGCAGGGCATTCAGTGGTTCTGCAATGGCAGAGGACTTCAGGGCAAAATACAGGTAATGTCTGGCAAATCCCAAGAAAGAGAGTAGATCCTGGACATAATAAACTGTAGCCGTTCCTCTGTCACAGCTGTTTTATTTATCCTGTCTTCTGAGTTTGTGTGTTCCAAAAACTTGACAGATCTTTGAAACAGTTTGCATTTTGAAGGGGAGAAGTTCAGCACATGATCAGGTAGTTGCTTCACTAGGTGACCCATATGTTCCTCCACTATTGAGAGGGTGAGTCACCTCAGGAGGTAACTGCATCTTTAAGACTCATGACTTACTTCATCATGTTTTGGAAGACAATTAGGGTTATCTGTCAATACCTGGGGCTTCCTCTTGAATTATTGGATCCCCACAGGTGTAGATAAGTCTGTCCTTGCATACTCTTTCTCCACTTTCACATAGTAGTAAGTCACCCTTTAAATTCTGGGCAGAAAACCATAAGAATGACCGTATTGGTCAGACCAATGGTCCATTTAGCCTACTATCCTGTCTTGTGACAGTGGCCCATGCCAGATGGGAACTGTTGGGAACAAGAAACCATGGCAAATACCTCCTCTATTCATGGAAATGGATAGGCATCTTTATAAGTCAAGTCAAATGATAAAGCATGTAGTAGTCCATAACCATTTAAAGAGAGTTCTTTACCTACCTATTTCTTTCAGAGAATTACTACTGGTGATGTATAAAGACTGTCAGGCTCTTCAGTGATTAATTTGACCATTAGTTCATACAGATGTTGAATGCAAATCCTCAAAAACTACTTCTTCTGGCTTTATGTCTGAAAGGACTGTCATCCTCCAGCCAGATCTTATTGGTAACCCAAAGATATGTTCACAATACAGGTCATACCTGGAGAAGGAATTCTCAAATTCCTCAGAGACCCTTTTTTTCAATGTATTTTCTCTCCAGTTTATCTGGAGTTGCCTCGTCAAAGTCTAGGTGCAAAGATGGTACTTCAATAACCCTCCCTTGTATTTGAACAACTCCAGTTGGCTCGTGTGACAGTTACCTTCTGGGGATATTGTTGTCATATGATCTCTTTGGAACAAGTTCTGTGGCTGCAGTTGACTTTGGGAAATCCACAAAAGTAGGGTTTGGAGCATAGTCTCCCAGAGAAAGAATTATCTATCTGTCCAGTCTGCTGGCATATGCATACTGCCCTTCTGTAACAGGGTGCCTGTTGCACCCCTGTGTATCCACCCCTTAGCCCCGCTCCTCATAGACTCAGGGACACTCCAAGCTGGTGCAACTCCCATGCTCTTTATTTGTGTCCGTTTCCCACCACCAGTTTCCTACTATGTACTGGCTATTTACAATGGCTTGGCCTAACACAGGCTTGGTCAGCAACAGAGTAGCATGCTCCTACCTCTCTCCCTGGGCCTCCCTTCCCTCCTGGTCCCACCCCTTCTTCCATTTCCTCCCAGCCTTTTAGCTCCTGCTAATGAGGCTAGCAGGTGCAGGCAGTTCCCAGGCAAGCACTGGCTATTTACCCAGCCCCAATCCATTCCCCCTGATTGGGGCTAGGATGGCAGGAGCTGATTAAGGGCTTTCCTAGCAGCACCCTGCCACACCTTCCCTTCCTCAGTTTCCTCACATCTTCAGTTGTGGTATAAAGTTTGGCCCTTTGATGGTTCTGCATTATAGGACAGATTTACAGAAATGAAGCACAAAAGTCCTCTGCTTCTCGAGGTGTTCCTTTGTCTGAACACTAATCTGTCTTGCTACACAGTAGGGCCAAGAAAGGGCCCAGAGCTTTTCCTCCTATGACTGCTGTATGTGCTCAGCAAAATGACAGACTCACTGGGAATAAAAGGGTAGCTGCATTGTGTGAGAGGTGGGAGCAGGACAACCCCGCTACTGAATAGGTTGGCTTGTTTCACAGCTAGAGCCACAGATATTTTCAACAGGATAGAGCTTTAAGTGCATTAGTTAGCCCTTTGATTCTGAGAGAATAAAAGATACAAAGAAATTGTAAGAAAGTCACACCCCCTCCTATCAGATTTGAACACACTGGATTTGCAATATAAACCATTAGGCTGCACACAATCTTTCATTAGAATCCATGGGAGAGGAGATTATTTTTTGCAATAGGAACATACTGTAGTGAAAATTACAAGTAAAAATTAAAACAACTGATGGATAAAGTGTGCAAGCCAAATCTCTTTCCTTGATTGTACCAAGAACTGAACATATGAAATTTCAGGCAAACCAGATTTAAATTCATGTATGTTTACCTTTTTGCAGTAAAAAATATAACACCAAGAATTTTCCTATAATGTAACTACCTATTTCTCTGTGAATACGGCACATACAAGAATCTTTTTAAAATATGATGTTAAAATGCTTATTATGATTGCATAGAGGCACAGAGAATACAGTCCTCAGGGTGTTGCCCAGGTTTCTCCACCATATTTGATCTTTTATAGACAATGCGCATGATTCACCACTGTGCTACTCCATTGATTTCAATGGAGTTACGTTGGTGTAAAACTAGAAGAACACAGTGGTGAATCGGGCCCCATAATAGCAATGCATTATTTCTAACATGGTTTGAGTCACTACCCTAATGCAGTATCATTTGCCTTGGAGTTTGTTAAAGAAAATTAAATGCTGGCATTTCATTTCACAATCTCTAGTCTAGATTTTAACTGGTGGCATGGATCGCATTAAGCTTGCTTGCAGTATCTCAGTGAACCAGCTCTTTCCTGTGATGCCTGAATCTTGTACACAAGAATCCAAGCTTTCATTTATAGAAAAATAAGTCTTTGGATTATGATAACTACAGCTGATTGGAAAGTGGTGGTGGTGGGGATTGTTTAATGAAGAGTTGACAAACTTTTGTTTCCATTCTTTTGTTGAGATTAAAAAAAAATGTTAATGCCACTTCCTAGTGTTCTTCCAAATTAAGAAATTGCATTAAAAAAAAATCTATTCCTGGGGCAAATTCCTGTTATTCATAGAGACACCCACGGGAGGGGAAGAGGAAGGCAGGAAAACTCTTAGGGAGGAACACCTTCTGAGTTTCTTGTAGAATATCCCCTTTAAGAGAAGGTATTTAGAAAGCCATAGAGTTCTCTGGGAGAGAGGTCTCCCAAATATGTGGAGTAAGAAATAGGGCAAATTTTCAACTTTATTGAAATCCTGCCCACATCGATGTCATTGGCAAAATATCCACTGATGTCAGTGGGGGCAGGATTTCACCCTGTGAATACTGTTCGATATGTTCAATAAGGTATGTTTTCGGACAAGACAGCCATTATTCTAATTGTAAGAGATAAGCAATTCAAATATTTATGATTTTAAAGCATTGTTTCAAATCTTTAATTCCTTCTAGGCTTTCCAATGAAAACAAGTCAATTAGTGTATTTTTAATGCGTTTATTGCTCCAGACAATGCACTGTAAATGTTTCTGCGCTTGAATGCATTTTGGTTATAATTAGAGAAATGCCAAGTGAAAACATGCTGGAGAAAGAAACACTCACTGAGAAATATTGCATCCCCTCAGAACTTGTTTTTGTTTCATCTTTGCTGCAAAAATAATCTCTTTCTAATAGGTATTCCTATTAACTTCCAACTACTCTTTGTCTACGTATCTCATGGCCAAGTCGGTCACAGGGATGTCATTTTTCATAATGTTTCAATGGGTGTTTTTTTACCTGGTGGTGCCCATCTCTTCCCTAGAACCTCTTACAGATGGGGAACTGAGGTACAGGGAGCGAAGTGATTTGCCCAAGGTCATCCAGGGCATTCATTGCCAAGCAAGGAATTGAACCTAGGTCTCCTCTGTCCCACGCCAGTACCCCCAACTACTGGGTCATCCTTCCTCCCCTTAAACTGTGCATATAGAGCTAGTTTTAGCATTTATAATATTCAGCACTAATGCAAGGAACATACAGACTGGTATTCTGCAAGACATTGGCTTCAGCAGTTAGCATAAGGCTTGAGGCCTATGAACTTTGGCACAGATTAATGGCCCAATGGTCACCCCTAAATTTTGGAGAACTGGGAATAGAGTGTTTAAGGGGGAAGTTTATCCATAACGACACCTGCCAACCCCAGGAACATGAGCTAACACCAGCTTTTGCATATTTTAGGGTAGGAACATCTGCAAATGTGTGACCACAAGAGTGCCATGACGTATCTGATAATAAATTGAGATAATTAATATCCTAACCTATAGAAGAAGGGCACCCCAACATTAGTAGGGTGAGGAAATACAAATAAGGAACAGTGGAGACACCCCTACTAAATATGCATTAGGCATAGTGGTGCCAGTGTAACATATTATAAACATTTTAGCCCAACCTGTGTGCAGGGGGGAGAGAGATGTAGCCCATGAGAGGTGCCAGGATGATGGCCATTGGTGACGATGAGGAAGGTGATGGTGGTAAGGAAGATAACAGCTAACATATCACGTTATTCTCAAGGGATGGTGTGAGTATATGGATGTTCAGATGTACATTTTGTATTACCTCTATCTACCTTGCTGGGTTAGAGTGCTTGTGATTTTGCTAAATGCATTAATAAACTATTATAAATACATAAGAACGACTATATTGGATCAGACCAAAGCTCCATCTAGCCCAGTATCCTGTCTTCCAACAGTGGCCAATGCCAGGTGCTTCCGATGGAATGAACAGAACAGGTAATCATCAAGTGATCCATCCCCTGTCGCCCATTCCCAGCTTCTGGCAAACAGAGGCTAAGGACACCATCCCTGCCCATCCTAGCTAATAGCCATTGATGGACCTATCCTCCATGAACTTATCTAGTTCTTTTTTGTGCCTTGTTACAGTCTTCCTATACAGTATTCCTAAAGTAAAGGAATACTTGTGGCACCTTAGAGACTAACCAATTTATTTGAGCATGAGCTTTCGTGAGCTACAGCTCACTTTATCGTGAGCTGTAGCTCACGAAAGCTCATGCTCAAATAAATTGGTTAGTCTCTAAGGTGCCACAAGTACTCCTTTTCTTTTTGCGAATACAGACTAACACGGCTGTTACTCTGA